TCTTAATTTTGCCAGAGTTTACTCACTTTTCTTTGTGTCCATTGTATTCTTCTTTTTATCCATCAGTCAAATACAATTCTTCTCTGGTTTACAAAAGACATCACGATCAAAAGAGGCTGAAAATATTGGTTGTTTTTCTTTCTATTTTTTTTTATTCTTTCAGAATATTTTTAAATCTACACATGTTAATTGCCCCTCAAATCTTTCATTTTCGAAAAAAGAAAAGCTTTCAAATATTTATACGTATTTAAAAAAAAACTTAAAAATACATCTTTTGTTGATTTTACATACAAAATGGATATGTTCTTATCTTTACCTCATTTACACGTTGAATAAATACAATAGCCCAATCAATAAACACGAATTCCCGAAAAACACAAAAACTCAAACATTCGAGATAACCATATGAGTTTTTCTTATATCAAAATATAACCAACATGCAAAAGTCTAACAAAAATGTTTGTACTTGTAAGAAGATTTACATCAAACAAATAAAATTGATCCAAATTATTTATCGTTCTCCCAATATTTCTTGTGGTCGAATAAATGATTAAGCTACATCCTCTAGGAATGCTAGAACTTCTTTGAAATTTTAATTTACACTCATTTAAGTTGGTTTAGAGTGTTTTAGAAGAATCGAAAACATTCAAGCAAATGTGATAACTAAGAAAATAACACAAAATAAAACAATCAGTAGACTTTCTTTATTGTTTTAATTCATCTCCAATTTCTATTCTTATTTTTCTTATTCATCTATAAAGATTTTCAAATCTACACATCTACTACAAAAAATTATCAAACATTTTTACATATTAAAAAATTAAACATACGTATATCAGGCACTCAAATACCATATTTTGTCTTTGTTTACGTGTTGAAGAAGTCATTACCATATCGCACATCAACAAGTCTTAATCACAGAAAGACATAAAAGCTTGAAGTTTCTAAATAAACGTAGTTCTCTGCATCTATCTCATTTTTCTATGCTTTATGTTTTGTGTTTGTAGTAGTTCCTTTGACGGCTTTGATGACCTTTGCTTCATGCTTTCTAATGCGTAGAATAAATCATTATAATAGCTCATATCATTAAAAACATATGAGCAATGCGTTGAATAAATCATTACAATAGCCCATATCAATAAACACTAATCCTAGAAAGACACAAAAATTCAAAGATTCTAGATATCAAAATATAACACACATGCAAGTTACTACCGTAAACGAAGATCAATCATAGAATTTTACCGGGGATGAAAACTACACTGTTAAAATATAGATTAATGTGTATATAGTTGCACAATTTCCGACACCACCATCGTCAGAGTAGTAATCCCAGAAGCGTTTTTTTTAGCATTATTTTATGGGATCATAATCTAGGTCTCCTACTACCAAAAAAAAAAATATATATATATAACAATTTCATCAAAAGTATGAATCTTTCCCAACGGAAATCATCCAACCATCCAAAAATTCACATCTTATGTCGATGTAAAGGTGCAAAATCTAGAAAGCGAAACAAACGATTATATGAAAATTTTCTTTCATTTTTGAACATATAAAGAAATTTTAAAAGTAAAACAAACAATTAAATGACAGTAAATTATGTTCTACAAAGAGTATCATTATACAAATTTTCACATATACTCTATATGTTCTACAAAGAGTATCATTATACAAATTTTCACATA